ACTGAGCAGTTCGCACAGCCTGAGCACCTTCGCGCTCATCCACCTTCAATGTAGATGGAACTTCGTTAGTTGAATGACGCGGCCCGCGGTAAAAGAACATAATTGAATTAAAATCAAATTGGGAGGTGGTCACACTTCCGTTGCCCGGAGTGTTTTCAGTGCATTTAAAAAATAGACGAAATTTTCCCGAGCCAAGAGTCTCTGGCCTACATATCAAGAACAGAGTATAGATGAGACTACGAAAAATAGCAAAATAATATTATCGACAATATTTTTTTCGTTAATTATTACTTAAACCAGCAAATGAACGGTAAACACTACGACACGGGTGTTCTCATGCCTTAGAGTGTTCATCGGTCATTAAAAAAAGTTGTTAGTCACTTGGGTCACTGCCGTAATCGACTAATTATTTACCAGATCTGCTAATTCACACACCCATACTCCGGAACACTAACCTATTTTCTGACATAAAGTTAGATTGAAAAATTCTTATTTGATCTCCATTCCACAAAATTTTTAAACCTTTCTTCATTCCACTAAATTTCCAAACCCTCATCCCGTAAAATATCAAAGCTTTCAACAATACCACTGTTGAAAACTTGGGCTTCTCTTAAGTTTTCGATCAACGCCTCTGTGAATGAAAATGGGCACGTAACTTTCAATTGAATCGTATTAATAAAACGTCCATGCTGCATTACTCAACTAAACTAATTGTTTAGTCGAGTAAACTCAACTAATTATTTAGTTGAGTATTTATGTACATGCTGTACTAATCAACTAAACTAATTGTCATACTTTCATGAATTAAAAACCTGGAGTCATTCCACGGTGTAGGGTTTAGTAATAGAATTTGAAAATTTGAATCTAGCTTAGTAAACCTGAACACGGAAGCTAATGTGAATTGGAACGTCACATGCACTGAAATCTCCCTCTTGAAATTCCAGGGACGTTTATTGGTTTGCCTCAGCCCTCCGCTAAATGAACTGGAGGCGGTGAAATCCGCAGATGCGTCAAAATGAAATCTTTCCATATAATCCAAAATATCGTGCTATACGGTATATAGCAACAATACTCGTATGAATAGAAGTACATTATATTATGACATTATTAGCATTTTTCTATACTATTCACATAATTTGTCTTCAGAAGGAAAGTACAAATCCAAAAAAACTACGGATAATACAACCAGTATTACATTTACTTTTCGGTTCAGAAACTATGCTGATATTGTAATAAAAAATTGCGTGATACTTAGATCTTTACTTAAGAAGATATATCAATAGAATAGCATCACAAATAAATTTTTCATATCATACGTTACAAAAGCCTTATCAAAATTTAGTTCACTACAATTAGCGATAACACAAGGATCTCCATAGGCTATTCGAACTGAATTTAATGCTTGTTCAAGGATTCAACGAGGTCTTTATATGTAAATGTAAATTTTCGACAGCAATTACGAAAAGTCATTAAGATCATAGCTTTAAAACGTCACCTAATCACTCGACGCCCTTTATGATAAAATATCTGGTCAAATTATGTTACAATATGTCTTCGAATTCCACAAATAACAATCAAAACGGAATTGAAAAATATTGCCGAGCGGTTTAATCCCTTACATAGCTTTACCCTAGGTACTAAAGATTTGGTTATTAGGTATTTCATACACGTACGTGCTCCGATTGTCAAACACAATACACAAATAGGGGGCTTGATGCATCTCCGTATTTCCAACTCAAAACTTATCAGAGGCTTCTTGTTCATATATCATCATCAATGAACTCGGCGGAATCTGAAGGGCTTCGGATCTCATAATTCATGTACAAGATTATAATCAATTCAATTAAACTGTGTCTAGGGATATGCTACTTTACTGTACTATAGTTCATATTGTGTTCAGATCAGCAATTGAATAAGTATATTATATCTGTCTACGGTTTATATATATATGATTAATTATTTAATTACTAAATTATGTCGTGTTGCCTTTAAAGAGTTATAGTGCCCAAAATGAAAACTGGGTAATTTGTAGGAAAATAGATTGGAACTAAACGGTTTATACAACATAGCAAATTCACAACAAAATATTAGTCGTATTGACATATGTATAAAATAGAAAATTGAATAAAAAATAATTATAAAACATAAGTCTGCTGTAAATATAACGTTTAATCGAAACCTCGCCGTAAAACGAAATTTTCTGAGATGACAAGTGGGGTGCCGTCGCCATGGCAACAGTGCGCAGCGTCTGCATCGCTTCCACCTACGAGTGATTATTGCGTCCTGATGTCCTGAGCAAGCTGGTCCCGCTTACTGAGCTTCGTGAAGTCCATTTAAAAGTTTTTTACTGAATTGATCTTTTTCTCATCAGTGAAGATAGTGAATTGGTCGAATTATAATCAGTGATAATAGTGAATTTTTATTATTATTTACATCATTTATATATGCGGTATAGATTGTTAACTATTTAGTAAGGAGATCAATTGTTTATGTAGGACAGGTCAAGGTCCTGACAGTTTATTTAATAAAGATAATAGGAGACTTGTGTGAAGTAGTTTATGCATTTATGCACATACATCATGATAACTCCACCATGAGCAGAATTATGTGACTCATTTTTTAAAGTGCGAAGTAATAGTGACAGTGATTGAACTAAAAGGTTATTTACACTTTAATTATGAGATCTGTTTTGAAAATAGGCCTCATCCGGTAGTTTGTTTTGAAACTAGCATTTTGAGTTGATTTGAGGCGCCGAGAAAATCAAAGCACACAAAAATATTAGAATCTAAGTTAATTTTATGAGAAAATACCATAAAAAATACTATGAATTGCACTCGATCTTGGCCGCATCCTCCATTCTATCGGGATTACCAGAGTAAATTACGCCTTGACTTGCATTGAAGTTTGCGTTAAGTCATTGTTATTGTGTTAATTATTATTATACCTTCACTGCACACACAGTAAAAAATATAGCATGAATTGATTAACTTCGAAACTTTTCTAGTTAGCCCGCTTTGCATTATCGTAAATAATTAAAACTGAGGGCAAAAGCATATTTTGGAGGATTTTTTCCGCAAACTTAAATGTGCAAAAAGCTTTTGATGTTGATGAAAACATTATAAACACCATCTGATATTGATATCACATACCAAGTCTTGCTTGTGATATTGGCAAGATATAAATACACAATATTGACATGGAAATCGCTTAGACACTCGTATGCGCTAATAATTTTCATCACAAAATCACATCTAGTTATTTTTCAGAGATCATAATATGGGAGCATCCCATGATATGAATTAATAAGCAGCGAGTCAATTAATAAATATAAAAATTACACGAATTACTTTGAACTGAAATTCTTCAATCATAAATTGAATTTATTTACGCTTCAGCTCAGTCCATGAGACGTCAACTGTCTCTTGTGAGCTCATAGGATAATTTGGAAGCATTCTGCACTGGAATGAGTTTCACATAAAAATTGATTTGAAACTAAACAACATGTGGTTGCTGGCCAAGTGAAGGGCCTCATATGGTTGAGGTCCCTATTCATTTTGTTTTCTCGTATAAATTATAAAGTTTTCATATAATTAGCTCTCAAAATTACGAATAAATGAGGAAATACATAGCTTCAAAATAAAGTTTAGAGTGAATAATTAATTACAAATATGCTTAGAACAAAAAATAGTTTAACTTTAAAAGTTATCAGTTTATTCAAACTTGAAATTTGGATTTATGACTAATTTTAAGAGGCGTTGCAAAAAAGTTTTGATTCCAGAGACTTTTTGTTTCTAGGTTTGTGATTCCCATTCATAAGAGAAAGTAGGAACTCTTTAATTCAGTCGCTGCATAACATGAAAAAAATTAACGTGGTCGATAGATACACTAAATGGCACAAAGGTACACTAAATAGATACACTAAATGGCATAAATTTTTACTAGTACTATGAAGAAAATAGAGGCGGGGTTTGAAAAATAACTGTTAGCTGTAATCAGGTCGCCTTAAAAATGCATGAATTATGAAAGGAGATTAAAAAATGAATTTTAGGTTATTTATAATCTAGCTTATGCTATTTATGTTAAGCTAAATCTAAGAAATCTAATCTACACTTCGATAATAGCCTAATCTACACTTCGAAAAAATGTTCTCTGTGATTTATCTATGTACAAGACGGAGTGCATAAGTTGTGACACATCAAAATAACTTTACGAAGTGCCATCAAGAATCATGAATTTATTCTGAATATTTTTTCGTATCACCTTGAAGTTATCTTCTGCATATCCTTAGGATGAGAAATTCAATTAACAACTCTAATGAAATACTCGTATAAAGTGCGTTCTAAACTTAATTTGCATAAGCAAACGCGACCTCACTTGGACTTGTTGAGATGAAATGTAAGATAATTTTCCAAATTCAAATACTAAATTAGGAATATAATTTCATTAACATTCATGAAATAACGGTGCGGAATGCCGAGTTGATCCACCTCCTACGCAGGCAGATTCAGACGTTATATTTGGATGGCCCCAGTTTTTCTCGGTCATATTCCAAGCACGAACTTGTTACTGCACTCCCGAGCGCAGTGCTAGAACGAGCCAATTGTGCACCGCACTCGTCTGAGTGGCAATACCACCGAGAAGCACAACTTAGATACTTCCGTTGAGACATTACCGAGCGCGGGAATACGTTATATCAAACTTGAGATGCTCACAATCTCTGAGATGAAAACAATGCGGGAAATAAAAACGTCAAATGATGCTACAAAAAATTCTGCTGCAGTAGATACTTAAGTATAATTATTCATATTCATGAATGAATCAATTCATATTGATTCAAAAATCAATATGAATGTGTGCTAGAAAAACCCGAAGGCAGTTTGATTTTAATGTCAATTTGAATCTTTTTTGTTCCGTGCATAACCTGTAGTCTCGGAAGCCTTATAAGATTTTAATTGAATTTTCATCACATGAATTGCTTCAAAGTTAACGTAAAATAAGGAATGGGTAATACAGAGAGCACCGTGTCAAAAGGCGTGAAGGCACAAGCCAGCGCCAGCCTGCCAGTCTATGACCTCGTAGACGTCAATGGTGAGTCTTGCACTCAACACGAGTAACATAAACTAAATCACCATATATGTAATGTGCTACGTAATTCAATTATAGTAACTAAAGTCGTACCTATACAAGCTATGCAAAATTAGGATGTTTAATTCTTTATGCACATAACAGTTTCTTTGATAAAAACACAAAGTTAGATAAAAGAATTTTTCCCATCTAACACTATCTCTTCAAGGTTTATATTGCAATCACAATCAAAATAATTAAGATGCAGCCATGTTCTATTGGGAAATTAGGCGTTTTAAACTGAGTGGTCGCACAGGAATAAATTTTATAAAATTGTGTTAATGTCAGGAAGCTAATTTTATAGATGTTCTTTATTTTAAAGTACATCATAACAACTATGGTAGAGGGCCCCGCAATTAACATTCAATACAGTTATACTCAACCGCAAATATTTCAGCGCCAGTTCAATGTAACGAAAAAATATGTATCTCGGGAAATCCGCAAAGCTGAACGGAAAAAAAAGAAAACAATTAGAATGAAAGCGTTGTAATGTGCCATCAGAGACGCCTTGATGGGTTCACAAATGCGCACTGTTAAGAAGCGACTGAAGAGAACATTCGGCTGAATATGCGACGCAGCTAACAAAACGGCAAGCCAAACTATGTACATTAAAATTTACAATACGTCAGCCCTGTAAACTTCTCAAAACCAGCGCTTATTTGAATAATAAGAAAAACATTGTTGAATAATGCATGTCGTTCAAGGCATGTCTAAATATATGTTAAATATAGCTAAAATGATCAATAATTTCTTAAATGTACATAAGTGACATCGATCAGGACAATTGAATGAATGTATCTGTGCGTAGTGTAATTGAGCAGCGACGATTCAACAGCGGTACAATCGTCGTGATTTTTCATGCTTCGCATTATTTCCTCCTTATTAACTCTAATGGCCTATTTAATGACAAAAAATGAATGAAAACAATTTCAGTAAAATTTTTCATTCGCTTATTTGAAGAGAAAAAAACGGAAAACAGTGTTCGCAAGTTATTGATTTGTTTAAAGGTTCTCTCTGCTCATTTCCCTTACACTTTAGATTATTCAAAATATACCATATTAATGAATAATAAAATTGATCACCCCTGTGATTTTTCGCCTGCGATTCGTATATTAATCGACACTTTTTTGGTAGGGGAAAGAATTTTTAGGAAACGATATGAAACATGCATGTTATAAAAATAATTGTATTCTTTCTCTCTACAATTTTCTCTTATTCCTTAGCAATACAAATCTGAATCAGACGATAGTATATATAGTAATATGGTTCACGGAGTGCATATACAACACTTATGTATGCCAGTAATATTAAAATCAGTCGGCTGTGATGCAGAAGTTTACCCGCCGAGAGGCGGGGTAATAATTTAGAACTAAAAGAGTTTTAGACCTGACAATTATCCCTGAATTGTACAGGCAAAGAAATTAACTTACAGACTAATTTTTACATGAATTTTGTATTCGTAAATTATGTAAAGACTTTTTTGGAATAAATTTTAATTATGAAGCATTATCATAATACTCAATTATATATATATGATGTAATAAACAGGCGGTGGAGAGCTGATCGAGTTGATGAAGAAAGCCACCAAGACCAAAGACTACACGGAGTTGGATGAAGCGATCCGCATTAAGGTGGCGGCGATGGCGTATAACAAGGGACAAGGAAAATGTATTAACGTCCACACGCTCGTCGCACGCAGGAATGCCGAGAAGCCGCTCTCCAAACAGGTGAGAAACTGTAAATCATTCATTGAGTACCTCGTCTAAAATGCCACAAAAATACGAGAAAAGTGGGTGAAAATTCGCATTTAAAACTGAGGAAACAAAACATAATAAAGAATGGAAAGGAAATTTGATCAATATCAACAAAGTATCCATCTGGGGAACAGACTTTTGTGATGCAGATATCTAAATTTATTTCCTAAATATGATCTATGAGTGTTAGATATTGAGAACTAATGGCAAATATTTCGTATGCCTTTAAGGTATCAAAAGTGTACAACTTTGGTAAAAAATAAAATCGAAAAAGAACAACAGGATTCATAGCCGTAGCAAGAAATTAAAACATCGATATATTTTTTCGAACACTGAACTGGGTGGATCCGCACTTTAAAAAAATGGAGTGCAATTGTTACCGGATATTAATATGAAACCACCACTCACTCAGATTAAACTGGTGCCATACCCATATATAAGCACGTTAAAAGAATAGCACCGCGAGATTGTTAAGAGTTCGTTCCGGTGTCGGGCATTCACATTTCTTAATTGTGGGCATATTTTGAAACGTTCGAGAACACCACCCAAATAAAAATTTAAGGTGAAGCTTCGATAAAGAATCAATTGAGAACTGGAAAAATCGAGTATTTCCTACCTCAATAATATTTCACGAACTGATATATCTCGAAATTGAATTAAACCTACTATTAATATATTAATATAAAGATATATATATTAAACTATGTAATCTTTTTATCATTTCATTTAAAATCAACGTTTTCAATGTAGTACCAGATAACCAATCAATATAATTGTTCATCGGGAACTTCATACGTGTGTGCGTATCGCATTGAAGATAATACAAATCTCAATATCAGCTGAAAAGACTTTCAACTCATTAAGTATGCTATACTCACTTAAGTAATTAATTAGACGGTAAAGGATGCAACGCAGCTGTGCTCCATACGAGCATAAATATATACATACATTAATTTCAAAGCGAAGTAGGGCGGAGTTAAAATTGATGTTCTATTCGTCACCAAACTTCACCTACAGGCGTCTTGTATTTCATTTTTTTGAAGAAAACTTTAAAAGGAACTTGAGACCATTCACTCCACAAAGTTGTACGGTCTAATTACTCACCAGATCACGTTCCCTAAAAACCTGCCTGGGGAAGAAGCTGTCGCGGGGAAGTTCCAGCCTGGCGTCGATGACCCTGCCAAGTGTGAGTGTTGCTAATTGTTGTGCCATGCACTGGCGTAATTAGAAATAGAACTAAAGTACTCACTGCAGTGAGTGACAGAGAGCGCATTTTCTCGTCGACGAAAACGTGAAGTCACGGAGGGACAGACGGACGGACAGACGGACGGACAGACGGACAGACAGACGGACAGACGGACAGGCGGACAGACAGACGGACAGACGGAAAGACAGACGGACGTACATGGTGAGCACAATAGTGCATTTTTTACATAAATGGGACAATGCGATAAAAATGACCATGAAATTTATTGATTTAATAGAAATATATTCAGTGTTGTAAATTTAGATATGAAACCTTGGTATAATCACCAGTTTCAAGCAGCACAGTGGATAGTGATCTGTGTATTTAATCTATTGTATTTAATTTCACTATTGGATAAATTTAGGAATGAAATTAATTGATCACATTTAATTTTTGGGGTAAATATTTTGGGTTAAAAGTCAAGACTCAATCCGATAAAGGACTAAATTTTTGAGCATTAGAAATTTTTTTTTATAACTGACCAGCACAATTGTGTAAGATAATTTATGTTAATTTTTGGCTGTCGTAATATTATATTAAAAAATAGGCTAGAGAAAATTATGCCAGATATATGCCACTTCCTACTTGAGCTGCAAGCCTTCCTCAATCAAGTACAAGGCTTCAATAAATATAAACACAAAAAATTCGAAAAAAACTGATAATTATCATTAAGAATGAGATAAAATCATGAACGATATGATATCAGTCAAAAATTTGGTCATAGTGGGGGTAATTAATATTCCATATGATTGCTGCAACGCTGCGTGAAAAATAGCCCATAAATATAATTAAATCCCTAAATTGGTTCATTTCGATCAAACATGAAAAGGTAAAGTTCGCAGTTTTTTCCCGATTTTATTTCCTTTTGTTCAAAATAAGCAGGATTATAAATTTGTGCTCGTGGTAGTTGGGAAGCTTATATTAAGTTTATTGAGTAGAGATTTTATACGTTCAGTAAAAATTTAAACTGCCGCGTTTAGCACATTACAAAAATTCAAGTCTGATGGTGATTGAACCGGTATTTTGCATACACTAATTACACTTGTTATATCAGGAAATATATCTGATGCTAATATATACCGTGATGTCTCGTCGAAGTATGAATAAATGTTAGGCATAATTCGAACTATGCATGTCTAGCACATAAATATTTTTCAGCCGTAATCAAATTTTTATTCATTTTAGATAAATGAGCCTAACAGCATGTATATCAGCAATCTTTGCGCATTCGCTAAATTTTGTTAAAATATTTTCAAATGGGAATAACGTTCTTTCTCATAATTGTAAACATTTATTGAATTCAGTGAAGTTGGTGTAGTTTTAAAGTTCCAACTTTGAAATAACTAGCTGGCAAAAATACCATTATATTTTACATTATTCATTTCGCGAATTTTTCTACTCTCTTTCATGAAATTGTGCTTTATTTTTGAAGTGACGGACAACGAAACATATCGATACCAGTTCTGGGACCTGGAGCATGTGGGGGCTGTGGGCGAGACGGTAGTGCACTTGTGTGTTCTCAACGCCACGTCCATACACAATGAGCTGCTCAAGCGCTGCCTCAGGATATACCCTTACATGATCAATGATGTCTACTTGGCTGACGAATATTACGGTGAGAGTGGCGTGATATACCCTTACATGATCAATGATGTCTACTGACGAATATTACGGTGAGAGTGGCGTGATATACCCTTACATGATCAATGATGTCTACTTGGCTGACGAATATTACGGTGAGAGTGGCGTGATATACCCTTACATGATCAATGATGTCTACTTGGCTGACGAATATTACGGTGAGAATTGTGTGATATACATATCCTTACATGACCAATGATGTCTACTTGGCTGATGTGTATCACAGTCAGGGTAGATAGTTATTAATCTTGCTGAAATTTGATTAGTTCTTGCCTCTCTAGTAAAATCATGAATCCTTTAGACGAGAAATGATTGGAGAAATTCTTTTGCATTACAATCACTTACTTATTTAAGTTTTTATGGCTACCACTTCGGTGGTGGAACCAAAATTACATAATTTGTAAACCACAATTTCAAAACCAATATTCTGGATCTGACAGGAAAATGATCAGATAACTGACCCATATTCAAAGCGCAGGACTTCAAAGTCCACTTTCTTTGAAATAAAAAGGCACTGCATTTTCAAGGGGAAAATGCTCTCCATATCGCCATCGTGAACGAGGACCCAGCCATGGTGAAGGTGCTGCTGGACTACGGCGCTAATTATCACGAGCGATGCATTGGGAATTTTTTCTGCACCGAGGACCAGAAACCATACAAGCAAGATAACTACAACCACGAGTGGTACGACTTGCCCGTCAAAAGCAACTACTACGGGTGAGCCAATGCTGAGGTGAACCAATCGAACAATTTTGATCGCTTTAATATTACAAAGTACTTGGGTAATAAAAATATAGTGGTTTCAAGAAAAGTAGATTGAGCAACGATCATAAATCAGTCTAGCAATAAATTTTCAAAATGAAGTAAAAGAGGTCTGGAGAATCCGAAGAATCAATATTTTATGACAATAAAAATTATCAGGATGGATTTAGAGACCATGCAGTTTAAAAAAAATCAGTTGTTTTATAATTATAAAAAAAGGTGGTAATATGTTGAAAAAATCTGAAGTGAAAATCAATACCAATTAGCAACACAGTTATTCACAAAGACGATAAGTAATTTAGATTTAGATAATTTAGAATTTTTTATCCCGATAAGCAATAGGGGAAAAAAAGGAACTGAGAGCATAGCGTACAGTATTTCGGAAGAAAAACTCGCTATTCGTTCCCTAACTGTGATAAAAGAACGTGTATTAATTCTTCTTAAGAACATTTAACAATTCGACATTGAAATGATTTTTTTCAGTGAATTCTCTGATAGACGTGAACATCACTTCATAACCTCAATGAAAATCGTTGACATCGTTGCATCATCGCGCTGATAGACGCGCATAATGCAAAGTCACTTCACTGATAGATAAACACAGCTGCACACCTCTACATCACTTCACTGGTAGACGTGCACACCTCTACATCACTCCTCCGATAGATGTGCACACCTCTACATCACTTCACTGATGGACGTGCACACCTCTACATCACTTCACTGATGGACGTGCACACCTCTACATCACTTCACTGATGGACGTGTACACCTCTACATCACTTCACCGATAGATGTGTACACCTCTACATCACTTCACCGATAGATGTGTACACCTCTACATCACTTCACCGATAGACGTGCACACCTCTACATCACTTCACCGATAGATGTGTACACCTCTACATCACTTCACTGATGGACGTGCTCACCTCCACATCACTTCACTGATAAACATAGATAGACTTCACTTCACCGATAGACGTGCACACCTCCACATCACTCCACTGATAAACATAGATAGACATCACTTCACTGAAAGACGTGAAAAACATAAGATATTATCGCTGATCCAAACGGATGCGACTGAGAACGACGTTTTTCATAAAATAATAATCTATTTTCAAATCTTTCTAACATGTAACTTTTTAAACCGAGATTTTAAGGGAGACCATGATAATGTATGGTAGAGTTAATGTTTAGATTTCATGCGTGTCCAATGATGATTTGAATAACTTCTTGGTTATAAACTTTTTGATAATATTCCGGGTGCATAGTGTTTCTTTTCTACGAAAACTGTTCGGATTTCATAGCTGTTTTGTGGATATAAGAATCTAAGAGACCATTGTACGTCTGCTTTATAGAAGAAACCATTCGTTTATTTCTTCTGTTACTGTTATAGCAGATTGAACGAACGTTTTAAAAACGGCGTCGGACATGCAATCGGTTTTGGAAAGCCCTCGATCAGGAATATGACGTTGCAAAACACGTGTTTTACCTCTTAAGCAAACAAACACGATCGTATTCCATGAAAAGATTCGCTACCTCAACCATCTTTTCCCAACTCTATTGCCATCAAAATGTTTTAGGTTCGAAGAGGTTGCAATTGTCTGCACAAACAAATGCAGGAAATAGACATAAGAAAAGGGTCAACGATATATATTACGGCAGTTGATACGGTTTGAATGACGGGTAAGATATTGATTATTAATATCCCAAATTCATCGTACGTTTAGAGGATTTTGACGCCCATTAGCCACAAGCACTCCGAACTCCAGACGCACTGAAGCGAAGGAACTCTTAACACTTATAGCACGCAGATGGTTCAGCGATTTGGTTATTAAAAATAATTTCTAGTTCTGTTGAGCGTTTGAGACATATGCATGAAAAATAATCTACGTTGGATAGTAAAATGCAAGCCCTAAAGTTTCGATTGATGAGGCAGAAACGATAAGTTTTAATTTGTTCATTTACTAGGAACTTGTACGTTGATATTGAATTTCCGTAAGGATCAAGAGGCAGAAGGTGCGAAGATTTTAAATGGGTTCAGATAGTATAATGACGTATATTTTCAGGTACGTTTACTGGGGCGAATATCCTCTCTCGTTCGCCGCGTGCCTGGACCAGGAGGAGTGCTACCGCCTTATACTGGCCAGGGTGAGCTACTGAGTTACATTCACCAGTTTACCCCATAATTTTTCCCAGTGTACTCCATAATTCTTGTCAATGTACCCATCATTTTATCCATTCACCGGATTTATGACCCCGCTCTCGAGCCTGTTCTGTCTGCAGGGGTGCAGTTTTATAAGATACAGTAAGGGAAATTTATGGAGCAGAGGTGCGGATGGCCATGATTTTGTTCTATTTAGTTCATCATTTATTGTGATCAATATAATTAATTAAGGCTACAGACAATGATCACAATAAAAGAACTTTAAAAGATGATGGCTCCGTGGCTATTTAAATGCTAGTTTCAATCTTTTTTCATTTTCGTTTGGCATAGATAGATTGTACCTATAATCGGTACAATAATAAAGTTGTAAGACTTTTCAGTCAGAAAAGATTTAAGCTTAGATTATATGAACATATGAGGTAAAATTCACAGTAGTCACGATCTCGAGGAAAACTCGAGGGATGTCCTTTTACGCTAATTAATTGAACTGTAAGCTTGAAAGGAAAAGTCTGGAAAATGTAGCCTGATTAAAAATACATTTCAATTATTTTATCCAGACGGTTAATCTTATAATAACCCAAAACAACTGAATTCGCCCACTTAGAATATTGTATTCTTCAGTCAACTTAAATATTTATAGTTTATCCTCAAATAAAGTGATAGTTTTCTTTACTCGAATGACACAGAAAATTTCATGAGATATTTGACAAAAAGATTGATGAAAGTTTGTTTATATTGCACTTGTTAACACTATGTAATGGGATGGACGAATTTCCGGAATTAATTCTAAAATTTTGGTGACTAGTATGCAAAATATTAATAAGTGTATTGGATGGTAAAACTAGTGGCAGTTACCTCTAGCCAAGTTACACCAGATCAACAGTTACAGGACCATGTATGTAGGCAGTCATGGAATTAGGCTGCTTAGAAATGACCTTCATTATACGTGTTCTGCCAGGCATGTTTATTGTACATATGAACATAATCGCTCCTCAGATAAAAAAAAATTCGGATCTAATTGGGAACATTGAGCGTACACATTGAATGTACCCTCATAGAAATGTATCTGTTGAATAAGTTTACTATTTGAAGTTTCAAACACGCTTAAGCAGGTTAATCACACAAGCGGAAAACAATGCTTTTATTAAAAAATAACACTTATATTAACTAAACGTTTTTTTAATGACATGGCACTTTTATAGCAAGAACATTACGGGATTTTATACTAGAAATAGATTCAAAACGGAATGAGAAAATAGGGCGAAGGAATTTCACGCAGAAGCTTCCATGAGTACCGCACCACTACCTAACATGAATGAATCCCTGGAATGAAATGATCTTATATGAATTCAAAAATTGCATAGAAAATTCTCAAAACTTAATGCAAGTTCTTGGTGTTAATGCTACCTTCAAGAAGCTACCTGCTAACTTGTTAATGCTATAATGCAATATCGACGAGCATTTTCGAGTAACCTATGAATTTTTTTCACAATGTTTAAATTATAGATAAAAATAAGATCATGAACCAGGAAAATCTTCGAAGAAAAAAGTTCGATGTAAATTTAGAGCATTTTAGGAGCGCATGCGATTTGAGAACCAATTTTGAAGTCGATTTTTCATGAGATTGGGGGAGGGTCAAGTATATTCGAAAGTACGAAGTTTCTTGACTTGGCAGATGGCTCATGTATAGATCAGAAGGTTGCCTTAAAAATGCATGGAATTTATAAACCATTCAACTCAACGGAGGTCCGTTGCTTGAAATGCTCTCGCTATTAAGGCAATGTTCATGATTAGCCGATTTTCATCATTTGCAACCCAGTCATCATAATTTCACAGCGATCAATGTTCTTCAATATTTGTCTGTCTCAATACAAAATCAGGCCGCCACTATATTATTCGACTCTACAAAAATAATATATTTCTGCCTTGCTAGTTTTCAGTAAAAGCGATGATTACAAATAACCCATCAAAGAAAAATTTGATAATTGCTGGTGTAAAAAATTCACTGGACCAAATGCGACCCAAAAAACCCCCAGTCACACTCGGCGAATATTGCAGCGCCGCTGGATTTTGTGGGCAAGCTTTTGTGGCTCTATTTGAATATTTTAGCAGCCAAAAAATATGCTTGAGTCGTGACCTGTTTATGGGGGCGTAATATTTGGCTTTCATTATGAAAATAAAGCATGTATTCGCCCTAAATCAAAGGAAAAGATTCAACGTTAATGAAATGGGACTTTCCAAGTACCTTATTTTTTCTATATTGAGAAGATTTAAAGAAATACATCCGAGTAAAATTGTTTCTCGATGATTGTGGCTTGAACTGATGATCGTTCAGTAGTTCCATATTAATTACCACCTCAAGCACCCAATGATGTTATCATTGTGTTATTGTGGATGGAAGACAATGCAGCATTTATTTATTAACAATTACCCAAGCTGTGATTTTTGGTCAAGAATTCTCAAATTATCATCTTCTGTCCGTGGGCCGTACGGCATGACAGTTGTACATAAATCCATGGCCTTACACTCAATATGAAGTAATTCAAACGAAATTTAATTTTGATCAAAGCACAGACAAGCAGAACCATAGATGAGGGATGTAACGGAAAATTTAAACTATAAATCAACCTGTTTAGGCGATCAAAATTTGCAAGAAACTGCACCATATGCTAATTAGCACATTATCGTAAAAAATTTTCCAGACTGGCATAGTATTTTCTGTTAATTCCTTCAGATTAGCCCCAGATTTATCTTTATCTATTCTATATGGTCACGAATCGCGAGAATCGACCGCTGATCAAGCATTTTTATAACAGAAACTATAGAAAGAACTTCCCAGGTTATGACTCAGTAATATTTTATGAATTTCGAAATTTTATATGTTGCTTCGAAACGTTGCTTTCATGTACGTACGAATAAAATTTTTCTTGTTTGCCACTTACAGGGAGCAAACCCAGACAACCAGGACACAAACGGTAACACAGTCACTCATATGATGGTCATTTACGACAAAATGGTGAGCCAAATACTGATTAATTTTTATATGCAATGAACAACAATGATAGAAAAAAACAACGTGATTTATAGCAAGATGATCGCATATAGTGTCCAAAATTAGCATTGCTTTTCTTATTAGTATTAGTTGAATTGTTTTACCACATACGAGCAATTCAGCACTGAGGACGAATTTGAATCACTGAACAAAATACAAGACAATGAAAACATTTTCTTATAAAATATGAACAAATTATGAGGCTCGACTTGACATTGAGTATATTTGGTCTGGCCACGCTCTCGCTTTGTTGCGTGACATGGAGAGTCTTTTTAAAATAACACAAATAATTGCTGTTTTCACTCTCATTTGGATCCCGCCATCGTGTGGATCTAAAATTGCTCGAGAAAATACAAGAAGGTTTATTCAGTTTCAAAGACATTTTATTTGAGGACTTAATGAAAGGCTCAATTTACTGAGATTAACGCGAAAAATAGTCTTTGAAGGGACGAGATTGTCGTCAGGAAAAGACTAAATTCGAATTAAATCGCGCTGGCATTAGTTCCTCGTTAGGCTTGCAGTGAATACAGCGAGATTGGTGGAGTAATCTCAATTTTAATCATGTTTTTCCTTGAAAATGTTATGAATAATATAATACAAACGAATAGCCAAATCAAACTCAAATTATATACAAAAATAGATAGAAAATCTGGAATTGATCGTTACAGAAATTGTTGACAGATTTGGCGATTTACAATTGAATAAATATCTTAAATGAATTCCGAAAGTAATTTTTCAGAAGCTTCAAACATATCGAAGGTTATAACTCGAGATTATTTTTCTAATGGTGTTTATGTTAATTTCGTCAAAAATAAAATTGTACGTAGACAGAACACGAATGAGTTAATTCACGTAGATGACAAATTGGATGGAAATTAACTAGTAAAATTTTAACAATTATTTATAAGAAATTATCTTACAGCCGTTTAAATTATCGAATCTACCTAATGTGGGTTGAATTTTTTTTATAAATGAATGATTAACGATTATCAGGGGTGATTTCCATTCCCTGATATTACAAGCGTAGAAAATCTTCGTTATTTCGGTGAAAATTTTGAAATTGGATAAAAATTAGTTTGCGCTAATTGTTTTTTTTTGCGAGTGTAGGAGATGTTCGACATGTGCTTCGAGGCCGGGGCGACCATCAGTCTCCCCAACCGCCAGAACCTCATCCCCATGACGCTCGCCTGCGTGCTCGCACGTCGGGACCTCTTCTTCCACATCCTGAACATCACGAGGGAAATATACTGGCAGATTGGTGGGTGGTGCTCACTAATTAATCATTACACCTGAGAACTCAATTTATGATATATATTGACCGATCTTTTTCTCTCATCAATGAATTTTTTTCAAATCCTCAGTCATTTCTGTAAAGACAGGCTTCACATCAGTGATTGCTGCAGGGTGCTAAGCATGAATGAGTTAAACAAATTGCTCTTGCACCATATTTTGTTAGAGCGAGAAACTTTGGAACGACCTCGAATTCAATTGATCGTTTTGAATCCGATACAGGGCAATTCACGGAAGCTTCTTGTTTTGTATTTCGCTAAGCAGCCACATGTTGTAGGAAAAGAGCAAAGAGTATTTTATGTGAAAAACAACGTCATGAAGTTTTGTGTCCCGCCTAGTCAGTTGCCACTATGCATTGGACGAGTGAGAAGCGTACGTTTGCTCACGGGCGTACTTATTTAATGGCGGTTCTATCGTCACTATTCAATGAGCATTTTGTACTCGGTTTCGTATTCGTCCTTTGGGTCGGGTCCCTGATAGGAAATAAATTGTTACGTGAGTGAACACATTTAAGGCAAGTGGAAGTTTGAATGCAAGAGGTTCTGGAGGTCTGCCACAACACATGAAAACGTATAGAGAGTTCGAGAGGCATTTCTGTGTACTCCACGCCGTTCAGCAAGTAAACAAGCTACTAATCTGAGGATTTCGAACAGCAGTGTGGCACGAATATTCCACAAAGAACTGCAATTTCAGGAATTTAAAAGTAAAGAAAATAGCCAAAAAGTTCACCATTTCTTATAAGAGAAAACGTTTCGGAGTCCAGCTCCATCGTCAGTTCAAAACCTAGAACACAGGTACAAACAATTAGTAACCTAAAATTCACATTCAAACAATTCACCTAAACTTGAGGACATTAGAACTAAAATCGAAGATAACAGAAATAAAAATGAGATAACATGTAGAGTGTGTGTGTGTGTTCTAGGTTTTGAACTGACGATGGAGCTAGACTCCGAAACGTTTTCTCTTATAAGAAATGGTGCACTTTTTGGCTATTTTCTTTACTTTTAAATTCCTGGTAAATTTGCGACTTAAGCAGCCAAGTGATTTTAATACTGCAATTTCATCCCCACAAATTGTCTTTGGTACAAGAACTGTCCGTGGCGAAAACTATTTTATTTCTCGCCGAAATGAGTGTGAAGAGCTTCTTGAGAACTTGACTCACGATACAGTCGTTTTTTCTAGTGATGAGGCTAACTTTCCTGTTCCCGGCAGTGTAAACAAGCAATTGGGGTAATATTTTTTATAAGATTGGCGTAAATAAATTGTTTACAATGACTGTTCAAGAACACTCCTCATTTGAAGAGCAACATGCGCCAAGCCAATGCCACAGTACCCGTCAATATTCTTCAGCGAGTTGAACGAAACTTCAAAAAATCGACTAACAGACAAAAAACAGACTGAAAAAATCGACAAATGACCGCATTGACAATGGGGGTGGTCATTTGTCCGATGTCATCTTCAAAACTAAGTGATAGAACAATAATACATGAATTTGATCTTTACCTCTTGTTTACAGGCTACGTGACTTGCGCAGCTTATCCACTGGAATACTTCGACACAATCAACGTCAAGACTGGAGACACAGAGACCAAGTCCGCGCTCAACCTCATCGCTTATGGGGTATTTTCCTAGTCAATTCTGATTAGCTTTCAAACGACTGAATCGACGGTGTAATGGCGATAAATTAGAATAATTGTATTTTTGATTTAGTGTGTAAATATTCTCGTTTGTAGAATTGAGCTTTATAATGTAACAGCTGTTCCAACCTGAGCTTCGAATGAGATAATTATGAAGCTTTCATTGCTTTTAACACTGTTATATCACAATTACAACATCAAAATATTTAATTTGTGTTATAAGGAACAATGTAATACATAGCACAAAGTAATATAATTTCAATCTATTTATATTCACACGAACTTTTAAAATGAAACTCGCCAAATAAAAAATCATTTATTGCCAGAAATTTTATACTGATAAATAGTTTAATTTACACTGTAAGCAAATGTCTGCTATCCCCTTAAGGGCGCTTGATGTTCATTACCCATGAGGTCGCTTCATAACATTCGAACATGTGTTTACAATTACTAAAATATATCAACTCGCTGAAAGTCGCAATGAACTTTCAGGACAGCTGAGAGTAAATGCACGAGGTCATAACTTAGCTTTTAAAAATGTCCTTGAAAATTATCGTGCTTAAAAATTCTCAGAGTGCATTGCCTCTGGGATGAATATTATAGATGAAAAGTTGTCGTTAATGATTCCGGGAATGCCTGTCCTTACGTTTTCTGACATCGTAATATGAAAGAACAAATTTAAAACGCTATTAAATAGTATTAACTGTCGAGTCAAGTTGCTACATAGAATAAAGTTAATTGTGGATATATCGGGAATTAAATGTGAAATACCCGCACACAAGCAACTGTGAAGGTCAAAATAGTTTATTAATTATTTAACTAACAAATAGTTATTTTTAACTAACAAAATAGTTTATTATTTACAGAATAAAGAAGAGCATTTGGACCTCATGGAGGGGCCCGTCGTGGACCTCTTGAAGACCAAGTGGGCAACGTTCGTGAAGTTCAAGTGAGTCTGATGAGTTATAGGAAAACAAGGATAAAAATAACGGTAAAACTTGAAGTTCGCCGCTTGCTCATCATAGTAATTGGAAATTCATCGCGCTTAAACTGATAATAGTTCAATTGAAAAGATATTTGTAATAAATTTAAAATCTGGGAACGTCCCACGTTTCCAATCTCTCGGGCAAAAAATTATTTCACCAGTTGCTGCATCAATAAGAAAGAAACGAATTCTAACAAAACAATATCTAATGTGAGACGATAGGAATAGTATGTAGGAAAAATATTTATTAAACATAAATTTTTTCATCGCGACCCCCTTCAATTTCTCAATATTTTTATTTCTTTTTTTGACGACGAAACGAGATGTACTTTCAAATTCTAAAGAAAGTGGAGTTAAAATTCCTGAAATCATGAAGTGATTCTTTTAATGATTGATGAATTTATTCTAGGAAAATAGAATTCAAAAGTCACGTTAAATTTTTGCATCTTAATACCAAGCTAAAATACTTTTTTCTTAATTTTATAAGCTAAATTAACCATTGATATGATGTATTTATTAGAGGAAAGTGTGGTATGAGGAACTTACACTTACGCATGCCATTGTTGAAAAATGGTGACTGAGAATTATACAACAATATAAAATAGTTTACAATAAACTTTATACACTTCATTGACCTCACTCCCGGAACTCAGTTTCTACGATACGTGTTCTGCAAACAGGTTCTACAATCTATTCTTCGTCTTCCTCACGTACTTCCTGATCTCTACGGGAGCGTACGTGCTGCGTCCAGTGCCCTGCGTACCAATTGGGTCTCGGGTCGCCGCCGCGCCCAAGCCGGCAGTGCTGCTGCTGCCGGCGCTAGGGATCACCTGTGTCAACGTTAGCGTCTTCCTGGCGGACAACACGCGATTACAACATTCAAGCGTATGCTGTATTCACGGCGTGGGAGTGCTTTTGGAATTTTAATCTTTACAAGATCATTGGTATTAATATACAAGTTTTTAAATTGCACAGCAATTTTGTACAGTTTTTAACTATCTTTTCAACTCGCCTGGATCAACCGAAATTCTGTTCCGTGCAAGTCTAGGCTTATATTGATACATGCGTAAATGGATATATTTTGAGCGTTAAATCAGGTTAAATAGTATTCATACACGGATCATTTATCATTCCGGAGCTACAAACATGTAAAACTTCGCACTGTTTACAGCATGAAAAATGTCTAGAACAGATTCCTGATGATAAGCCCAAGTCACTAAAATTTATCAGATTTCTTTCTTTGAAATTCACGTTCGACATTCCGCGAATTTAATTGGTTTCTTCATCTCACGATTTCTTTGATCTAAAAAATGTAGCGGTATTCTTCGACCCGAAGGCAAATCTCGAAACCCATTTTTTTAGCTGGATAAAAAGCCAGACGACTTAAGAAAATCTAATAGATCAAACGAAAATTTCTGAAAGAAATGGTTTAAAAATTCACAATTTTTCGCAAATACGAGAAAAAATAACGTAATATGAGAGCCTATCTGTTATGTTTTTTTTTAATCCGGTGAATTGAAATAATTTTAAAACATGAAACGATTTACTGAAGATTTTGTCCTAGAGCAGGAATTTCTTGTTGTCCAAGCTTTGGTGCGCGTCGATGAATTGAATCTCCACTGGCAATTTTGCAGCCACGCCAGGGCTCGGTAAAGTTTGTGGGTTGGCAGTAAGTTAAGTGATCATCAACTCGAATAGTTAAAGAATTCAGCTCTTGTTACTTTATTCATGTTACCATTTATGTTACCATTCATGCTACCATTCATGTTACCATGCATGTTATCATTCATGTTACCATTCATATTACCACTCATGTTACCATTCATGTTATTATATACGTACAAGAATATTTTTAGCTGTGATAGAACCATCCTGCAGATGTTTTTATCCTTTAAATAAAAAATTTCAGAGCAGAAGTTACACATAAACGGAGACGTGAGAATTCTATAGCTGTGAAATTTTCTTTCAATAACAAAATTATTGTGTTCCTGTACTCATCATAACATTTGCAATACAGGTGACTACGTTGCCGAGTGAAGACCAAACGTTTGCGAGAAACTCAATGCTGGGTGCAGATTCGGTCTTTGAGTCTCCAATCCTATTGTCGACGTCGGGATCAAACCTGCCGATGTCAAAGCAATCAGATCTGCACGTAACGTCAGAGCCTGAAATTTTGCGGTTTGAGATCGAGATGCCAAGTGAAAAGATTTTATCGAGCAGCGTCATTTCAGAGGCTTCTGTCACTGCAATGCCTGAGGATGCCGTCACCGTGCGATATGTCGTTGAAGGAGAAGAGGTAACAAGAAAAAAATTTTAAAGTGTTTTTTATAACGTAATTTATGCCATCGAGATTTTTTATGCTACTAAGCAAAAGTTTTGGACTCCACTGTATATTTAGACATCGCATAAAATGTTGAAATTTGCAGCAAAAAATATGTTGAATTTGATTTATCATTGACTCTTTGCTGGAGAATTGGAACGAAATACGTCTTGGTTAGTAATATAAGAAAAGTTTAAATTTTCAGCACGTGAAAGATATACTTAAATTCTAATGCTAAAATCGAAAATTTTCTAGCATCAATTATTATCAATAAATGCCGCGACTAGTTAAATCAATTCCACTGGCAAAATTGTTTCCAAGTCAAAAATAACAAGATATGTTATATCTTGAACCTGAATTTGTATGACATAAAAACAAATTTTTGCATTCTTCATGTATAATAATTTGAATTTAATATTGAAACGTCCTTCATTATTAAAAATGTCTATATTTTCAATCTTCCAACACCTACGAAGAATTTAGTACGATTTATAGAAAAAACTAACAAGAAGCTAATAAATAAAACCAATTCTCTGGTCTTTAAAAAATTTGCTTAAGAGAAGAAATTCTGCAAGCCTACACTATTATTTGAAAAATAAATGCCGCGACTAGTTAAATCAATACCACTGGCAAACTTGTTTCCGCGTCAAAAATAACAAGACATGTTATATCTTGAACCTGAATTTGCACGACATAAAAATAAATTTTTGCATACTTCATATAAAATTATTTGAATTTATGCACAGATGTCTGTGACGGTGTCGAGTGCATTGCACGACATTCTTTCCCCGTCTGCTGACGAAGACTCAAACGTCACGACGCCGGACCCGAAGAAAGATGTTCGTCCTCTCACCGCCTCGTCGTTCGCGTGCTATAACTCCTCACACTACCTCACCCTCGAGGGCCACAACACGTCCTTCTTCGTCACCAAGATCGTCAAGAGGTTAGGGGAAATATACGATATGTTCAATATATGCTTAATTATTTTTTGGAAACTTTATAAGCAATGCATTTTACATGACTTTTTTTACAGTAACAGGAAAACTTATAACTTTTGAGATACTTTTTTGAGAAAGTATCTCAAAAAACTCTTCCTAACTTTTGAGATAACTTTTAATTTTGAGAAGCAGCATTGCCTTCAAAAACCTATACCAATGATAAATTGTATTCTCGTTTTAATTTTCCCCCCAATTATTGCCTACATTTAAAGGAAATCAAAATTGCGACGGTTGTCGATATAAAGTAAACGAATCAGTTCAAGATTATAAACTGGGAAGGCACCTAGCTTCTATCTAAATTAATTTTGGTTATAGAAAAACTATTTCTATTTTATGCTTCATATCTATTGCATAGTTCATTCAACTGCCTTAAATATTCCCTTTAATACATCCAGTCATTTCTAATAACTTAAATCACAAAATAATATAATTAGAACCCCAGTCGTATCAAAAATGTTCTAGGAAAATGCATTTGATGAATTGTCTTTAACAAATATGAAAAGGTAACAATTCTAGAATAGTCTGCATAATAAATACGTATGAAATTTGTACAGTAGACATTATGAACAGCATCAAGTGGTGAGCTTGTGGTAACATTATTTTATTTTACAGAGCGAAGCAGCAAGGCAACCTGGTGGCCGAGGCTGCTGAACCAGAATAGTCTGCATAATAAATACGTAAAAAATTTGTACAGTAGACAATATGAACAGCATCCATCATGTGGCGAGCTTATAGTAACATAATTTTATTTTACAGAGCGAAGCAGCAAGGCAATCTGGTGGCCGAGGCTGCTGAAAGCCTCTTCCCTCAAGACGACAACGACACCAACACCACGACCGACCCTTGCCACTGCTACCTCTGGCAAAAGCCTGATCCTCTGCCCACGGGTAAAATAATCATGATTGTGTTCATAGTTGATGTAGCAACGATTTCTCTGGTGACAAAAGTAGACTTTGATGGAACGATCATTATTGATGATCGCATGATAATAATAACAATAAGATTTGAACTTACGTAGATAAAAATGAAAGTGGATTGAAAATGTCGGTGGGGTCAGGTTAACCAACAAATTATCACCCTCTATCTCCCAAATAGAGTCACGTTAATTCGTGAAAAGCGTTAGTTTAAATCTAAATGTTAAAAATAATATAGCAATTTAACTCCATACATACTGCCTCATAAATAAAAAAAATTGCCACCTCAAAGAAGGTTGATTAGATTAGATTAGAAATGTAAATTGTATATTCATGCTGTATGATATGATGAAGAATTCGTTGCATAGTGAAGTTTCATTTCGGACGGAAACCATCATTACGAGCATGAGAAGTTAACATCTGCAATCGGAAACTGTAAAATTTGACACGTAAATTTTCCGCCTCTTTATTTCCTCTTATGGAGAGGTAAATGAAAATGTACAAAACTGCGTAAATATAACGTTTTAAATGAGTTGAGTAAAATATTCTTCACCGTTTTCTTAAACTACTTAAACGATTGAATTCGTTCATTCGTAGCAACAGCAATTAGTGTAGGCATTGTGAAAGGAGAGCAATTTCATAAGTCATCCGAATTTAAAGGCACTATTAACAAGTTTGCCTCATTGCTACTCTACTTGACCTCATTACGTGCTACTCAAAATGTTATTAAGTTTGCTGAACTTAACTCTTGATAAGTAGCTTATGAGGTACAGAGGTCTTGATTGGCAAGGAAGAAACATTCATGGGCATTCATAATTGTTTTCATGATGGCGATGTCAGAGGTTCTCTTAAAACAAGTGAACCGAGCTCAAGCTAATTTCCGACTCCAACCTTTATCTTGCCCGAACAATGATTTTGATATCTTTTAAGGGAAAAATTTGCAGACTTGATTCGTTCGCCATATAGTCGAATGACGCTCGACTCTTAAATAGGAGTTTGCAGTCATGCAAATCGCTAAAAATCTAATCAACAAATAATTTACAAGTGTTTGAAAATGGTTTTGAAACCATGGTGATAGCAAATTGTGAATAAAATGCTGACATTTTTTGAATTAGAGCGTACAGTGTCGTAACAAGGCAGCAAATAGCTTCTTCCAAATTGAATAACAATTAAATTAATTAGGGTAAATAAAAAATAAGTTTAAAAAAATGGAAGCTCTTTAATTCAAAGTGAAAGTACTGAAGTTTAATTAAACCTAATAAAACGTACGTAGCTAACTTTACTAAGCCTCAGCTAAAATGGGAGTAACATTCGTGATATTTGTTTGCTATGTCCACAAAATGTTGCTTGTGCAGTATATTTTTAGATTCGAAAACTTAGTTTAATGGCGGAATGTACTACTGGGGTCGAAAGGACTGCAAAAGAAGACTTGCATAAGAAATTCTGCCGGATCAGCAGAGAACGAGAGTTAACAAAACGTTTTTTTAAGAGTGTGTTAAATTCTGCTGCCAGTATATGTATATGATATCTGTAGAAAGTATCGCTTTTGCAGGAGAGGTCTACATTCTCGGAGTGTCGTGGACCGAGGGCTCATATTATGTTCGTATTTGCTGTGAAATTTTAACAGCACTAGGATCACTGGCTTACATCGTTGGCGCTGCGAGAGAGGCAAGATTTCAAGGACTGCAAATGTTCTTCGAAAACTTGGTGAGAAATATCATGCCTTTTGCCATTCCATTTTTGTATTCAACTTAAATTTTAGGATGCTGCGATTAAGTTCATGTTTGTATCGTTTTCATGCAGATAAACTTCAAAGCCAGCAAATTTCAGTTTAGAATCCTAAATAGAGATATGTGCTTTCCTGGATGTCTTGAAGGTGCTGCGATCCTCGAATTGAGCCCGCGAAACTAAAGCATGAGCTGCAACACTTGAGGACACCTGAATGTATCTAGGACAAAATTAAGCTCTAAGCTGCTTAGCGTTTGTGAATAAGAAGACCCGAGGTCACATTCAGGAGCAGGATATGATGTCTTGGATCCACAGAAGCTGCCTGCTCTTCAGTTCAAGGCCATTTTAAAGCACGCACAGTTATATGAGCAGCGGCTCCCAACGTTGCGCGCTTTTTCTCAACTTCGCATTATATGATTTATTATAGTTACATGCTAATTTTTTCTTAGTAATTCATACATTGGTTCAATAGAGTTTTAGATTGAAGTTTGACTTGAAACAATTCTCACTTAAGTTTGAGATATCACATAGGTTAGACTGAATAATTAAAAAATTTCACCAAATTCCGAGAAATTTATCAGATATCTTAAGAGTTTGAGTAGATAAGAACAAGATATACGCGCAATATTACTTAACTGTATTATAATCAAAACAAATTAATTATATCATATGATCCAACCATTACACTGCTTCTACCACGTTATTTGTGAAAGAATGACCCGATTAGTTCATTGGCACACTTAACTATAAAGTAGTTAATTGAATCATGCCGGTGCTCCCTTCTGCCATGTCAGCATTCCGTCATCTATGAGTTTTGCGTGACTGATAAATCATTGATAAGTGATGACCGAGGATTAAATTAGGCAATTGTGACACATTTATAATGATTTAGGGATGCTTGATGTATATTAAGGTATGACGAATGTTTTCTCTTATTAAAATGGACGAAGGAATCGAGGAATACAGACCAATGCATTTTTAATGCCAATATCAATGACTTTAAGTTTGTATTAATTAATTAAATTTCAAGTATCAGACTGTTAATACCGATTCCTGAACACAGAGCACGGTACCATCACGCGTGCTGTTCTTGTTCGCGTGCGTGATGGTGATGTTCATGGTGGTTATGCGCCTGATGTGCCAGGGAGTTATCGAAGATTGTCTGGCTGTCATGGCTATGCTATGCACTGGTCCCTATTTCCTATTCTTCTGCAGGTAACGTAACCTCGATGTCTATTTACGCTTAATGAAATACACGTTACTTTTTATTTTCCCGCATACGCCAAGTGTATAATATTATGTTAAATTTATTTATATGATTGATGCTGTAGGTTTTTCTGTAAGTTTATGCAAATTAAATTCACAAGTTATTTCGTTTATCTTTTTTTGCTGTTACAACGATAAGCTCTTGCTCGCACGCTTGATTACTTGATTAGCATTAATTACTGCTAAGTAATCAAGCAAGGCACCGACGTTATTTTCTAAAAATTATTAGTTGAATAATCAGTGTAATTTAGATAAATGAATCTAAAAGTGATAACATGTAGGAAAATTATGTAGCTAACATTTAAAATGTTTGAAATTTTTAACTAAATTCCGTCGTGAAAATCATCGACTGTTTAATCGACTCATCCATACGATGGTTTCACACATGACTAATCTTGAGATAAAAACATAACTGTCCCTGACTGAACCACAATGAATTTCTCACACGTTTCGCAATTTATTCATGAGCTTCACAGGCGTCTGATTTTTTAAAAAAGAAGGGCAAAACACTTTAGTTGTATAAGCAGTTTAAAGCATTTTGTAAAAACTTTTTAAATCATGCAAAATTTTCAGAGGATTTAAGACTGTGGGTCCGTTCGTGACCATGATCTACACGATGCTGGTGGGGGACTTGTTGCGCTTTGTCACCATCTACTTTGTCTTCGTCATGGGATTCTCACAAGGTTAAAAGGATAACGTGCTGAAATTTAAAATAACAATAATTTATAAAAATATTTATATGGGAATATGCATTTATGTGGACCGGGTCAATTATTCAAAGCATGAACATGTGTCAAAATGCAATACTCGGTTATAGATGTGTGCATATTAGATAGGTGAATAAATTTGTCCCTGATAAGTCAAGATCTTCCTTGTATTGTAATTCCGGTTTATCGATTAAAATAATACTCTTTGCATTGAAATTTTTCTGGTTGTTCGTAAGTTTTACAATTATCTTTGATATTGCTACTCATCTCGTCAGATGACAGACATATCTTCAACTAATTCGGATTTAAGTAAAAATAAATGTCCAATGTAAATACAACATTTGGCTCGCAAAATTTTATTCGTTATTGAAAATGATATCCTCTATATAGCAGTAGTATAAAATTAAATAAAAAGTCTAGTTTGCTGAATTTTGAAGCCTTTATTTAAGACAAACAGAAAATTTGAAATCACTTGATACTGAATAATTAAACTCATATTTCTATATAACAACGCGAACCTTCTGCGAACGAAATTCGATTTTAATAAAAATTGCGTCAGAGGAATTTGAATTAAGCATATAATTTGAATGTATTTGACTTGTAGCCTACTATGTGATCTACACCTCGTACATGGCGAAGGCAGCCAAGAGTCACTGCAAGACGAACCCTCTAAGCACGCCCGTGGAGAGCGTCATGAACATGTTCATCATGTCACTCGGAAACTTCGGCAGCGTATATGAGGGCACTGAATGTACGGCGCATGAAACTTCAGGCAAGGTAATCCGATTTTTCAGGCAAGGTAATTCGAGAAACTTCAGGCAAGGTAATCCACATGCCTTCATTGTGCAAATACCAGGGATTTTCAGTTAATTAGTTCGGGGTTTGCAACTGCTTCCATCAATGTACTCATATTACTATTCAACTATAGTATCAGATTTTTTTTGCACGATATATGTTCAAGGTTAATAGAAAAGGTTTAATAAAGTTTTTCCTTCGGGTGTTGCTGAGATTCACCTTGAGATACCCTTCACAAATTACTAACTATTAGCCCGATTATTCCTTAAATCATATTACGAAATACAAAGTACCATACTACAAAGTAAGTATAATATACTCGGATAAAAAATACGTAAATTTCCTGATTTACGTGATTTTCATATAATTAATTATATTTCACCTGAACTTTAGGCTGCTTGCTATGAGAAATCTTAAAAGTTTCCGAATTCTTTTTATGAATTTGTATTCAGTAGGGAGCGACAAATTTTCTGATTGGCATGAAAGAATAATTACACGAAAGCCCCTCAACAAAAATATGATTCTAAGAAAACGTAATAGTTCGAAAATAACAGTTGCGTGTGATCCACAAACTTGCATTTCGGGATTTCAGTTTTCGTTGAGGTAAACAATTGCTTTCCGCCCGAACTAATTACCATTTTGATTTCAGCTTCCGCTGGCTGACCATTAGCGCAAACAAAAATTAAACTTTAATTGCTTGCTGGATTTAGGCGCAATTTCAGGGGTACGTGCTCGAGTTGATTCTACGTATGTGATTTAATCGTATTTCGCCTTGTAGGCTGAATGCACAATTTGGATTCGCTAATTTCAAATAAATTAGCGAATAGAGACAGACGTGGTGTACGTCTCTGCCTGTTGGTGGAGGGAGCTGCAAAATTTCGAGTAAATTTCTAGCCTCTCTCGCCAAAGGCCTGAAAAAGTATAATTATCATTATTTCCTTATTAATCCTAAAATGTGTTCGTCAATTTTCAAAAATACACGAACTGTCTTCAGGTATTATTCATCGTATTTATGGCCATCGTATCGCTGCTGCTCATCAACTTACTCATTGCCATGATGGGTAACACGTACACCATCATCGCAGAGATGAAAAACGAGTGGATGAGGCAGGTGAGTTCAATTGAGCAATTATTTCCCATTAATTTTTTGTATTATCTGTTAGAATCCATATATTTGTAATAAGACCTACAAGCTCCAGAAGAAGCTCCAGAAGAAGCTGGAGATTCCACATATCTTATCTGTTATTATCTGTTAGAATCCACATATTTGTCATAAGACCTACAAGCTCCAGAAGAAGCTCCAGTTGAAGCTCCAGAAGAAATGAATGGTTATCATTGATATATTCCGTTATCAATTTATTTTCGTTCACAGATTTGATTATCGCAGCGGTAATGTCCAGTGATGCAAAAAAGGAAATGCGACCAAGTCCTCTGGTTCAAACTGTGTTTGAAATCTAAAATAACGGCATATTTAAGCATTAAAAATTGTAAAAAGAACTAAGCATCCTTATAACTTCCGAGAGAGACAATGTTTCAATATTAATTTGGAATCCGTTTTAGAAAACTTCATTGATACCGTTAAAGTTTAACGTCACTAGCGCAGGCATCATAGTAATTCCTGTTATAAATGCAATAAAAATAAATAATATTTAATAACATTCAGGAGGTATATGAACATTTTTTATTGCTTCTTACCTCGCAAAAATGTCTTCAGAGTTTGTGTAGAGACACATGAGGCTGGGCTGGTCAATATGGTGGATGTCTGGGCGATGCATCATCGATGCATCCATGCCTTTATCGGCGCACGCAAAATTTTGGTTAAAAATGAGCTCAAGCGGAGCTTATTTTCCACACTGGTTTAGTTTATCTTGAGCAAATTGCTGACCAACAAATAATGTTAATAGGTTATAAGCATTTTTTGCTAATAAGTGGTAGTTTTTATTAAGATCATATATATAGGCGCCAATTATTACACAACATTAAATGATTGAATTCTGTACATATGAGATTGCCTGAAAATAATACGACCAAATCAAAGTTCAGGAAATTTTCACGAGTGCTCGCTTTCCACAAGTACTTTATACTTCCGCAGACAATTTGTTTAAAATGGATCCGTGAATTCGAAAATAAATGTTCGATGTCCACGAGCCGTTTCAAGGCCAAAGGATTTAGGTTCAACGGTGCATTTTTAAATATGCATATGTTTTATATTTAAAAATATGCATATGTTTTATTTTACTGTTAGAAGTAAAATTTACGATTATTGCAAGGTCAAAGTCACGAGTTCAAACAGCCTTGCTATCAAGGCTGATTGTTGGAATCGATTTTGACGAAGTGAACCCAACGACGTCCGATACTAAAGTCAGGCTCTGACTCATGTGTTTACTAGCTTCTGAACCATGCACCATCAAAGAGGAGATGAGGTTTCTGCTCTTTATTTCACCATAAAAAAGTGAGATGAGGTCCGTATATGCTTCTTCTCTCTATTGCACGTCAGAAGCGCTCAGCATTAACCCTTAAATCTCAATTGAGATTTCAAGGGTTATATCAAAATTTCACGTTTGCATATATTTCAGGAGTATCTTACTTTTTCTTTTACTTGCCTGCCAGAAACATTCGACGCAAGCTATGACGTAAAGGATTACATTTCTATGAGCGATACCAAAACAAATATCTAGGCATTTTTATACCAATATATTTTGTGCGGAAACATCTATTAATTTCCGAGAAACCGGTAGCACAAATCCCGCAGTAAATAAAAATATACATAAAATAAAACTCCAAATTAATTCCCAATGTTTGATAGCATACTACCGAGCATAGCTCTAGCGTCAGTTTCGGAGTATTCAATAACAATTTAAAACAAATTCAGACAAAAGAATTTCCTATTGAGAATATACACCAAAATTTACGAAATAAATTATTATCCGCAAACTTGTGTTCCAGAAGTGCTGATGGATCTGGTAGCCGCTACCTTATAAATTAAAAAATATTATTTTTTGTTATTTTATTCGCTCTGAAGATTTTATTGCTTTGAATTCTAGCTTGGTGGGAATGGTTCCCATAAGCGTCAAGCTAAAGTTTCCATAGGCGGTATACCTGTAAAAATATCATTTAAGTGTTATGTATGTAAACGGAAGTAAAATATGAGAGCATGAACGTGAGAAAATTCGAAATAGGTGCAATTCATTTTTTCTTTTAATTCAGTTAACTTGCTAGAAGAACACTACTTCTATTTGAAGTAGTGCAGTATACGGAGAGAACGTCTGAATACATGTTGGTGGTAATACAAATTGGTTTCATCCTATTTAATTGCACAGCGAAATTTGCAGACAAATTCAGCGGGACGATATTCCATTGTCTAACAGAAGAACATGACTTTTTTTGAATCCCGCGAAATTTGGCTGCAAAATTAAATGAAACAATAAATCAAAATACAGTCGAAAATACAGTAAAACAGACTATATAAACTACGCAGAGGTAAATGTTTCGACTAGAAACGCCGTCCATCCCACAGCCTTGTGGGTGATCAGCAGCTATTTTGCTTCAACGGCAGTTTTGAATAAATCTGGCCGAAATGCCAGTTCTTAGACCTCCACGAAACACGTCAATAACATTACACGAATCGGCACCAGGCTAAACTTGGCCTATTCTAGTGCCAATCTAATGTTATTGTTATTTATTTACTGTTATTGAATGTCACTGTTAAGTACCGTGCCCCCAACAGTGGGCGAGGATCGTGCTGGTCGTGGAGCGAGGAGTCAATCCAGAAGAGCGGCTGCGGCAACAAAAGATATACTCCCAGCCCATGGCAGACGGGCGGCCGGCGCTCGTCCTGCGGCTGCATCAAGACGTGAGTATTCACTTTATATTTGACCTTCAAAACAGGAAGTCATCGCTGGATTGAAAGTGGTGAAAATTTTAGATCAAGAGATGAATTTTCTAATAAATACTTATATAAATGAATGGCAATAATAGTATTTTACACTAGGCTCATAGTACAAATTATTTTATATGCTGAGTAAGTGGGAATCGGCTGAGATACTGAACTTCTTATATATAATTTTACATTATAAATCGAATCGTTCGCTTAATAAATATCATGCCATTTTATTGCAGCTCATACAAATAATACAACTCCCAGCTTCCCTTAAAACTAGTCCTTGTACAGCTTTTGGATTTCTGTAAATTATTAACAACTTCTTCGAAATCCGAATGATGAGCGCATCATGTCAAATAAAAGTTTTCTTTCAAATAACAGGTAATTTAGACAGTCAAAAATATTATGAAAAAATATACGAATACAGTACTAAAAAGGCAATGAAGGCATATTCTGCACACATTTACATCAACAAAAATTAACATTAACAATTTAAATGCCTAAAGCAAAAGCCTGGCTAGGAAACTCTTTTTTTTTTCTTCCGCGCAGGAGGAGGAACGCGACGAGATGCGCGACGTGCTCGACATGAAGCGTGTGCATCGCAAGTACGTCCAGCGTCGCCTGGCCAAGCAGCAGCGCGCAGCCAACGCCGCCGCTAACGCCAACGCCAAGACCAACGAGCCGGGCACTCGTGATCCGGTCAGCGGCGCTATTGGGAAGTAAAGTTCTGTAACATTGGCTCCGAACCGGGCACGAGCGACCCGGTCGGCGGTGCTGTTGGGAAGTAGAGTTCTGTAACATCGGCTCCGAACTGGGCACGCACGACTGGGTCAGCGGCGCTGCTGGGAAGTAAAGTTCTGTAACATTGGCTGCGAACCGTGCACCCGCGATCCGGTCGGCGGCGCTGTTGGGAAGTAAAAGTCTGTAACATTGGCTCCGAACTGGGCACGCACGATTGGGTCGGCGGCGCTGTTGGGAAGTCAAGTTCTGTAACATTGTCTCTGAACCGGGCACGCGCGATCCGGTCGGCGGCGCTGTTGGGAAGTCAAGTTCTGTAACATTGGCTCTGAACCGGGCACGCGCGATCCGGTCGGCGGCGCTGTTGGGAAGTCAAGTTCTGTAACATTGGCTCTGAACCGGGCACGCGCGATCCGGTCGGTGGTGCTGTTGGGAAGTAAAGTTCTGTAACATTGGCTCTGAACTGGGCACGCGCGATCCGGTCGGCGGTGCTGCTGGGAAGTAAAGTTCTGTAACATCGGCTCCGAACCGGGCACGAGCGACCCAGTCGGCGGCGCTGTTGGGAAGTAAAGTTCTGTAACATCGGCTGAAAACCGGGCACCCGCGACCCTGTCGATCAGAGCGCTGCTGGGAAGTAAAGTTCTATAACATTGGCTCCTTCGTTGCCAGTGTTTCGTCGACGCTTGAAGACGGAACTCTCTCGTAGAGCCTTTGACTGTTTAGCATAGGCATTTTTATTTGTTTATATCATTTTTCGCGGTTTTTTGTAACGTGCCCTAGAAGTTCAGTTGAACGAGACGCTACGACAAAATTTTCGTAGAAAATACTCATAAAAATGATAAAGCAGGTATCCCGCAGCATTTTTGCCCTGTACTTTTGGACGAAAGAGGTTCATGCCCTGCAAGTTCCTAGTACAAAAATCGAAATTTACTTTCTGCTGGAAGAACATCGTTGTCGTCAGCCGCTCGCTTAAAAGCGAAATAGCAATAACGTGGTCTTCCAGTGTCAATATATACTGGAAGCACGATGTCGTGGTATGCCTGTGTAGAGACTAGGGGTCAGCGTCGAGACTGGAAGCAAAGACTGCGTTTTGTTGCTTATTGCCATGAATTATGTTCAGTTTATTTTATTTTACTGAATTAGATTGTAAAGCCACGGAATTTATGATTTCTTTCAACCGCATCGAAATGATTTGTATCTGAATTGTTACAAAAAATTTTGGCATGAAGCCTTCTCCCTTTTATTCGTGTATAAAAATGCCAACTGGTTTGATGAAAAATTTAAAATGCCTGTTCTATTTATGTTCTATGAAATAATATTAACCATTGTAAAACATTTGCTTGAATCATTTATGAATTTCAGAGTAAAGAAAATCGAAATAAAATGATCTCTTGCAATTTTATATCGTTTTTGTCTAGCAGATTTGACATAAAAAGTAATATAAATTGTCTGTTGGCATGCCTGTGATAGCGATGATGGCTATTACCCTGGAAAAATTCTTCAATGTATTAATTATGAATCTATTCGAAGTTACTTTTTTTCTGACGACATCTAAGGCATTGCACAAATTGTAAGCGGTTTAGAACTGATTGAAGCGAGTAAACTTTTGGGCATCACGAGCTTACTTAGCCAACCTGAGTCATTTCTCCGATGAAGCCATTAGCGATCTGGGTAATTTAGGTGATATTTTTCTGAATAGAATAGAATGTAACCTTGAACATTTATTGCAATTAAAATTATCATGTCGTATTATGTTATATTATATTATATTATATTATATTATATATATTCTGTTATATAATATAACAATATATTATTTTATGTTTCAATTGTCACCACTTATAATCAGCGCCATTAGAAAATTCCAAAGGCGAGAAAATTTAGCGTTGGTCTAAGAACCAAATGATGTTATTAGTTCGGATAAATAGCTTCAGATTTTAGTGGCTTCAATTAACTCATACCTCTGCATTAGTACGCAAACACATTAGTAGAAACTAAAATTAGCTGACAAGCGCACTGCGTGTATTTCCCCTTTAAATGGATGAATTGTTATTCAATGAAGGAATTGAGGCACTTGTAAGGTACAAATTGAATGTTGAAAATACAAGATTCAGATAATATGAAGACACGTTATTAACATTGCAGCAACGGATACTTATGCTAAAACTTCTCTATGAGGGCACCTTTCGCACTAATTCCCTTGTTTAATTATCTGATGCAAAAAATTGCAACCCAATTGCCTGGAATATTATTCAATATGTTTGAATAAAAGAAAAAGGGGTTATGCCTAAAATCGTTTTCAAGCGCTAAGCTTTTTAGTACGAAAAGCCTGGAATACAGTAAAATTTGATCTAAAGTGCAGACATATTTTGGTAAGGCAAAATCTAAAACATGCTTAAATTGGCATTATTCCATTTTGTTTACCTACTTTTGTTTGCTTCGTGTGCTATTTACGTCAAAAGAAATCAATACAATATTTAATTTGTTTGAATAAATGCGGAACAGTTCTGAATATTACTTTGAAGCCTTATATTTAAAATTTAGCTGATTAAAATATTGGAACTTATATACGAAATCTGACATTTTAAAAAGGGCACGAAAGTTATTTTAATGTTTTAATGAGTTGGAAACGAGGATCGATAATCATAGACAGAATGAAAACTAAAACGTTACAATGGTATATTACCCGTGGCGATATTGACCACATTCGAATGGGAGTGAAAGAATTTGCACCGATCAACGGCAATTGGAATCTCGTAAGCCACAAGCAATACGCGGGCGCACACGCCTGAGATACAAACAATTCAACGTGGAAAGAGTTTAAATTCAATTTCAATTCAATTTAAATATTCAAATACAAAGGAACTTTACCAAACTTGACCTAACTTTTTCTAACTCTAACAGTTTCTTATGTTCTAACACTAACTCTAACGTCCGATTTTTTGAATCAGCAACGAAATGCTGATTGTACAGATTCTGCAAACTGGCTGCCGATTCCATAGAATTGGCAATTCCAAGAATTCGGCGCGACACGTATAAGCACCGGTGCTGATGAAATAACCGCACGGAGAGAAATAAAGATCAATAACAACAATAATAAAGAGAAAAACTCAAGTTAGGTGGTCGCTTGCTCATCTTTGAGTGTGCATAAGCTAGCGCCGATCCCGAGTTCTCTTGGAACTAATTAGTTATACACGGCTTCTAAGATGTCAATAAATGGGCACAACGACGCAAGTAAGTTGTCAGTAAAACTAGGTAAACACTAACTACATCTTACCATTGAGTAAATGAAAATAGACGATTAAGAAATTTGACTGAGATGCACGGAGATGCATCATCGAGGTATTGAAAAAACAACTATATGTTGTTTGGAACGGTTCAACTTCTGATAATTATTCACCAATCATTTGCTCAGCAGAATTTGAATGAATACATATTTTAATTGTATTAGGAAGCATAACCAAGTAAAAAAACACCACCAATTTCATGAATATTATTCATGTCTACCGTGCAATGCAAAGAAACTCAATGCATCAGAATTCAAGGTTGACTTTATTCTATTTGTTATTCATCTGGGTATTAAACGAATCCTAACAATCATGCAGTGACGATTGCCAGGCTTTGTGACGAACGATCACCTTGTTAATTTAGAGAAAGCAACTTCTGTTCTCTTCGTCACTCTCAGCCAGACGTCATGACCTCGGTAATTACAAATGTGGCCTTCAAAGGAGCTACAGAAATCCGTTTATGCGCCTTTCAAATCCAGGCGTGCTACAAAATCTCTATTAGCTGCGCCATAGGGGAATGGCTAACTATAGCAGCAATTGCGCGATGGAGCTGAAAATAGATTGCTTAACAAATGAATTTATTGCAGATGAATATCAATAACTCAACAAAGACTTCATTATGCTGAACATCAAAAGCGTAACAAATGATTTTTCAGAGCTGTATATCACGTCATATCAAATGAGTTTACTGAAATGTATATCAACGTACGGTATTCCAATGGACTTTTACGAGATGGTGTAATTGACTTATGATCAGCATCATAACAAATTAATTTACTGAGTTGTAAATCAATGGTGTAATAGATTACTCTATTGAACAAATTAAATCTTAATTCTTCTTTTGAATAACTGCTTTTACCTTATAATTCTTAACGGTGATTAATTTGAAAACTAGGATATGGGATCATGTGTTATTATTGGAAGCTTCTATGATCCCTCGCAAAACAAAGCTTGTTCATGTGCTTCAAAACAAAAGAATAGAATATAAAATCAGAATTTTCCAGCAAAATTTTTAAATTTATTATGTATTTATGTAAAGTATTTTTTTTTTCGAAAATATTTCTGATGATTCAAATAAGAACATTATTTTCAATATTTTGACATTTTCCTGCTTTCTAATTTTGAGATTTCGGTTTCGCGTATCATTCAGTTTGAAGTCAATTACGTAACAAAAAAATTGGCATAACCAGTAAGCAAATTGCAACTCCTTTGAATTAACTACTAGCATTGTCCTAAATTTCAAAATTTCACATATATGCTACCGATGCAGTAGTGCGAAACGGTGTTTAAGACGCTTAGTTATATTTGACTAGCAGCTTAATAGTATCTAAAAACGCTGGAAAATACGAAATAATATGTAGCTACTGGAACAAAAATAATCAGAGAGCACAGTGCAAATTTTCATCTGTCATATGGAACAAATAACCACCTGCTTCACTTGCAAAGGAATAGTTCCCCCTGAGAATACGACTGTGATGCATCAGCATACAAATGAGCCCGCACAACAAACAAGCTTTCCCGCGGCGCAAATCTCACACACAATCTATCCTGTGGTGCTAATCTCACATTCAGGGGTGTGGAAGAAATGTGGGCTCAGCGTGATTCTTTGTACCCAGCACCGAATTTTGGGGTATTTGTTGCTGTCGTTTCCGTATTGTACGCAGCTATATGCCCTCTTAATTGTTGCAATTTTGAGACCAAATAAGTGACATGTTACATTGCAAG